CATGAATAGGCATATGATTAAAAGCAATCATCTTGTTTTGTACACTCTATCGCCTCTATTTACGATTAGCCTTTTACACTCTGTCGTTGTTATCTCTCAGTTGGTGACTTGCAAATATTTGCTCGCCGTTTGGTGGCGCTAGTATCGTTTTGTCTGTAGGACATAATTTCGCATGGCGAACATGGAACAACGTGGCAAGGATAGCGAGTGTCCCGTCTAATCATAGAAATAGAATACAAATTCTTCTATTTTACATCTATGCTCTAATTGTATACAGCCTTGGGTGTTAGCACTTGCGCTGCTGCCGTGTTTCTATTTCGGCGATTGGCTGTTACATGCGCGCTTCCGAGCAATGTAGGAAGTATATGTACCAAGTATTAGCTAGGGTGCGATATTCTCTTCTAGTCGTCGCAATATACGTGAATCGTAAATTAAATAGCAATAAAATACAAGATTATCATCTTTGTTTGTATTATCATAGAGAATTGTTCAAGTCTGGCACTCTGGAATACAGTACGAACTGAATCTTCCATGCAAACGACGGTGGACTAATTAATGCATGCGATATGTGCACCAGATAAGGCAATAAGTTTGTGAAATCTCATCGTCGTGATATTCGTAACTTGTAACTTACCGTGTTTTGTGGCTTATACCTCTCCGATGCATTAGATTCCTCCTAAGTTTAGAGGGTAAACGTTGGACTGCATAATAACCCTCGATTTCCCCTAGTATCACGGGAAAGTAGGCCTACACAGCGGCTTCCAGTACGTACGTACTACGTGCCAACATACGCATCATAGAACGTACATATTTATTAATATATATATATATATATATATATATAGAGAGACATAGTTACAAGAGGCCTGGACAGGCCTCTACGGGGCAGCAGCTCGACTGAGCTACCCCACGGGATTTAGCTTGATGGTTTGTTGTTCGCCATTATAAATGTATATATAAACCAAGAAGAAGTTCGTTTAAGAAATTGCTCACGCCAGTTAGCAAGAACGATAGTTTCGACTTTGTGGTAGTCTTGTCAGGTTTTCTAACTTTTACAGCTCGAAGAAACTGTGTTTCTTCAGCGTGTTTTTTCCTCCTTATATACCCTAGGTCCCCCCCCCCCACTGTCTAGCGAGGGCGCAATAGGGGGCGCCGAAGGGGGCGCCGGGGTGTTCAGGCGCTAAAAGGGCGCCGTGTACAGAAACGGGTCCACGGGTTGGGGGCGCTAAGCGCTTTTAACCTGACGAAGACTACCACAAGTCGAAACTAGTCGTTCATTGCTAACTTCGTGTAGCAAATTTCTTACACAAAAACTTTTTATATATACATTTATCATCAATCAACAAACCATCAAGCGCTAAATCCCCGTGAGGTTAGCTCCAAGTCGCGGCTGTGGCCCCGTAGAGGCTGTTCAGCCTCTTCTACAGCATATGTCGCTAGATTCACCAGACCAGGACGGCACCAGCATCCCATGGATCCGGCTACAGCAGCACCCTTATCACCACACTCATGGATTAGACTTCCCCTCCCCCCGAACCAAGGGAGGTCGCGAGTAATATCCCTGCCTCCTCGCAGCAACACGACAAGAAGAGAAGAAAGAACTACATAAAACCCTCGCCAGTCATGCAGCCGCGCAAAAGTTATCGGTCCACCCAACTGCACACCCTATAATGTAGACGCTGCAACATCTGCAATCCAGATCAATCAACTAAAAGCGGCACCAAGGGTTACGAGTACGCCAAAGAAGCTGCGGCTTGTTCCGCAAACTGCGCAACCTGAAGGATACAGCTTCAAAGGTACGAGACTCAGCAAATCTCCGTTTGAAGAAGGCTGAGACAGCATCACATCCCACCTCCATGGATTAAAATGCTCCCAGTCGTCGGCAAACATTATGAAGAGTTCATGTCAGCCTGACACGCCTCTCTCACCAACAATATACATCACGCACTCACTTCACATGCATGCTCCAACGAACCTCTTCTAGCGAAACTCCTGTCGCAAATAGCCCCGCGGCCAGATACATCAGGCGAGACACAGCGTAAATCAAAGATCGCATAGTTAACACCTCCGTGCACATTACCAACGAGATCATGAGAACCCGTCAGGCTCATTTTACACTCGACAACCACACCGCAGCGGATTTTCATTGAGGGGCTGGAAAAAATATTCTCAGACCCCCCCCCCCCAAACATCCACGCATGATCCGCAACAGAAAAAACAAAAGAGAAGCCTATTGGATCCAAAATCTCAAAACAGCCCAACTCCAAACCATACGGACCTCAACCTACGGGTGCGAATACCCGGATGGATAGAAGACTACTCACAATAACCCTGCAGCATGGAATCAACGTGAGTCTATCCCTAGCCAGACGACCCAAGAGTAGGCGAAGCAGTTCGATTCACTTTTTAACACACTTATATATATATCATATATATATATATATATATATGGGGTGTGTGTGTGTGTGTGTGTGTGTGTGTGTTGTGTGTGTGTGTGTGTGTGTGTGGTGTGTGTGTGTGTGTGTGTACGTGGTGTGTGTGTGTGTGTGTGTGTGTGTGTGTGTGTGTGTGTGTGTGTGTGTGTGTGTGTGTGTGTGTGTGTGTGTGTGTGTGTGTGTGTGTGTTGCAGGCGTGCGTGGTCATCTCGATCCATGTTACAGCGTGTTTTCACCGTTCAGATAATGATATATAAATCTCTGAAAAAAAACTGATTTAACGTTGATTTATTAAACCTACAAAATGCACATTACTTTACATTATTTACTAGTTTAAATCCTCCCCGTCCGCCCCACATATACATAAACGACATATTGTTTTCGTTTGGTTACCATATATAGGCATATGTAGCTCCTTGCTCACGTGATGCCCGCATACCATCTAGAAATGTACAAGCATTTTTGCGTGCCTTCATGATCTCGCCTCCATATTGAATTCAGCTGCGAGGTATTACAAAATGGTGTGTTCAAATGTAATTTCAACGCGTCCGCACTGCTGGATACTGCCAGACACACTTTCGCCAAGGTAGGAAACCGCTAAAACATTTTCTTAGGATTACGAAGCAGTGATACGACTACCGTAGAACGTTGAAATATGGCCAAAGTAACCAATTTTGTTTCAGCGAGTTCAATCGCGACTCCGCGCATTGCGCACAGCTATTGTCAGTCGCTGTTCATTTTAAATCATTGTATGCAAACTCTTCCGGCTTCTTTTGGATTGGAATTTACATCACGTTGAGGTTCGATGTACAGGCCGACGTATAGTCTCTATTTCTATGAAATTAAAAAGATAAATTCGTGCAGTAACGCGACGAAGATCGGAGCAGCATTGCTAAGTTAAAATGCCTCTAACTATACAGTTACTGTAATGTAAACACACGTACACGGTACTATCCCGTAGATTTACATAGACAGTCAAAATCAATATCACTAGTTCTATCAGAAGGCAAATGCACGAGGAAAAAAATGGACGTTAACCAGCGATGAACGGTGTTAGATGTAGCTCTAGAACTATAGCCCTTCGCTCTGCCAAGGCTCCTGTGGCAGAGCGATGGGCTATAGTTCTAGAGCTATGTTCAGCGGCGTAGTTAGGGGGGAGGCAAAGGGGGCCATGACCCCCCTGTTGATCCGAAAGTGAAAATAAAATAAAAAAATTAGAACTGAATCTACTGAAAATCTACTGAAAAGAGAAATGTCCTAGTCAGAATGAAGGCTGTACATGTACTCAAATACTATCTCATGCGATCAACATTTTCAAATTTTTCTGGGGGAGAACCCCCCTTCCCCCTCCCCCCCGCCTCGTTTGCACGGTTGCACCCTATTCTTTTATATATATTGGTAGTAGAGAACAACGAACAGAAATGTCGCCTTTACGCATGGCGCCTGATAAAAGATTGCAGAGCTGAGAGGTGGGGGAACGGTTACGTAGGGTGTGAAGAGGGAGGCGGAGGAACCCTTAAAATACATATATTGGTCATCCCACGCATTTTCCGGCCGCCAGACTTCGGCTGTCCGCCGCCTAGCGCGTTACCAGCAAGAATATGCTCGGAGCCACGCCAAGCTGCTGTGTTGGTGTTGGTGTGGTGTGTGGTTGCGCTGTGCGTGGTGGCTGTGGGTGTTGCCGTCGTGCCTGTGCGATGTTGCGTGTGCAGCTTGTCTCGTGGTGGGTGTCAGTGGCGCGCGCCGGCGTCGTGGTCGTGTGTGCGTCGTGGCGGTCATGTGTGCTGTAACGATGTGTGGTGGTGTGTGTGTGTGTGTGTGTGTTGATGTGTGTTGTGTGTGTGTGTGTGTGTGTGTGTGGTGTGTGTGTGTGTGTGTGGTGTGTACGTTTGGTCTTGTGGCCTAGAATCTATGCTCGCGTTCAGTCTTACCGTTGGAGCCTGAGCACATATATCATCACATCAGTATATCCACCCTCGCTAACACTAGACTCCAAGCATGACCCGGAACCCCTAAGTCTGTAACGCCGAATTTACTAGCGTATTTCAGGGTCTATAGTTGAATCGACTACGGGTGTTCGTGAACGACACTGATGTTGTTCTATGCTGCCCCATTGGCATTCCTCGGTTTTCTGCGCGGCGATCGTCACGTGATTCAACGTTGGTCTTATCGATGCTCTTCCGATCTAGTGGCGAGCGTGACGCGGTACGGCGACGATTTATTCGGCAGAGTCCGCTGTCAGATCGTCGTTCTCAACTATGGCGTTCGCCCTTAGCTCCTCTGGCGTCATCGTGTTGCGTTGCGACGCCGGGCACAGAGTGCGCGCGACCACGCGAATACTATGCGCTATGAAAGCGATGTAAGCGAAGTTTCGGATTCATTGATTCCCGTATATTATAGGATTTCTGCAAGCGTGCGATCAGAGAGCAAGACGTCAGATTCGATACGAAACAGCTATGAAATATATCGACTGGCAGGCGACTCGGATTTCTCGGATTGCATAGAAACGTTGACGACGATGAACACGGAGAGTATTTCGCGACGACAAAAATGATAATCGAGTACAAATCTTCACTAGCTCTATGCTTGCGTCCTTCTAGCGCCACCTAGTTGTCAGGCGTGAAGAAAGTGGAAAAAGAGGAAATTGTAATACATAAATGTATGTAACATATTCAAAATAGAATCACACCACATCGCACTACGCGCTCAGCACACAGGCCATCATCAAGCGCTACGGATGCACCACCCACACAGCGATCACACACGACACACGAAGCACACAACACACCACCATAACACATCATCAACACGGGCGAACGGGGCAGGCGGACGACAGCGACGACGACAGCGAGATAACACACATACACCACTATACACGAGCGACACCGCGAGCTCACCGCACGCATCACACCACACACACACGCACACGCGCACGCGCACACACACATAACACACACACGCACGCACACGCACACGCACACACACACACGCACACGCGCACGCGCACACACACATAACACACACACGCACGCACACGCACACGCACACGCACACGCACACGCACACGCGCACGCGCACACACACACACACACACACAAACACACACGCACGCACGCACGCACGCAGGCGCGTACGCACGCACACACACACACACTTGCAAAACGAAACCTAGCTTCATCGCGATAGGGCGGCACTATATTCGTCGCGCTATATACTGATGTATAGGAATGACGGATGGTGTAGGCATCGCAGTGATTAGCTAGCGTATGACAGCGATAGCGTGTTGAGTTTAACAAATTGATAGCTGCCAGGCATGTGCATGGTGGGCATCGCAAATTCCGACCTCGCTACTTCGATGGAAGCGACACTGCCCCTATTCACCCTTATACTAATCAATCTGGAAGAGCGGCATGGGCATCTAGCGATTAACAACCAAAGGAAATGCCCTAGGGCCGACGAATTTTTCAAGTTTGCAAAATAGGGAGAGGCATACTGGAATGCCGTACGAATCGCAAAACGCGACATCGCTCCATCAAACGGGCGGGACCATCTATCCATGAGTGCCCCCCCTCGATACAAATGTAAAAGAAAGAGGGCGTAGGCATCTCAGTGATTAGCGCATGACGGAAATTACCCGAGACAGACGTTAAGTATTGAAAAGAGAAGACGGCAACTGGTTTTTCCGGCTTTCGAACTGCGTGAGATTTTTGTTACATGCCTGATACCAAATCTACAATCAAAAGAACAACGCTGTTCGTCTTCAATTAAGCTACCTGGTGGTTTGTCTGCTGCCGTGGGCTATTTTGGCAGGGTCACAGACAGTTTGATATTTGGTATTGCGCTTGTAACTCCTGTACAAATGTGTTATCGCATGATTGGCCAATATATTCTACTCTTTAAGGTGTCTACATTCCCCCACGTCTTATTGTTATATAGATAATTATATTCAAGAGCTAATAAATATCTAGTGTGTATATATGGCTATTATAACCTGGGTTTATAAATAAAAAAGTGTTTATTAGCTCTTGATATATTATATGTCGTATTCTCTGCTTGGAGGGTAGCGATCGATGCAGAATTGAACTGGAGCAGTAGCGTTAAAATGGAAAGAGTATCACACGCACCTTTCTGTTTTGTTTCCCGCCTATCGCGGCTAGGCGAGCATGGGATTTCTTCACAGTTTGAAACACCTTAACATATGAATACACCATAACCCCGAGTGGTAGGAAGAAGAAGCAGATAGCAAATGGTGCCAGGTACCATAGACCGTTAAACCAGTCCGGCCAAACTATGTGGCAAAACACGTATATCTGAAAGGAAAATAAATACGTATCAAATTAAAATCTTTCGGAGGTTACAACAATTTGTGTATGAACTAATATGATATTACCGTATTCAACGCATCTCTTCATCGATCTATCTTCCTATCAGTGGTGTTATATTGTTAAAACTGAGAAAAGAAATATATATATATATATATATATATATATATGGTATATATCTATTGATAGATATCTCTCTGTGTTCATGAATGTAAAGGGGGTGGTATGTGCGCATGGACGTACGGCCGGGGTACGCGTGCACCCACATACGACGGGAGTGTGCACGCATGCACGTACGGCCGGGGTACGCGTGCACCCACATTCGACCGGAGTGTGCACGCATTCATTTACGGCTGGGGCATGCACGCATGCAGCTATACGCCTAACGTTAGGGACTCTCTACCGTGTCATCCTGGTAGACGTGATGCACCATGTGGGTAAGCGCGATCGGCACTGAGAAGACTATCGACACTAGCCAGGTGGCGGCGATCCACTGAGCTCCTCTCCTCCTCGTCATGCGATTCCTGCTCGACACGCAGATCACTATGCGCCTATCGATGCTGATTACCTGCAAATGTACGGGACGAATCGATTTATACGAATATATACATGCATGCGTTCATACATGCATACATACATACATACATACATGCATGCATGCATACATACATACATACATACATACATACATACATACATACATACATACATACATACATACATACATACATACATACATACATACATACATACATACATACATACATACATACATACATACATACGTACATACGTACATACGTACATACGTACATACGTACATACGTACATACGTACATACGTACATACGTACATACGTACATA